GGCAAGGCTCCCCATCTGGGTGTGCATTTGACATCCCGATAGGAATTCTGCAGCTTCAGCAGGGATGGCTGGCCTGGAGACCTTGGATTTGGCCGCACATTCTTTCTGACCTTCCACCGAGCCAGACATTGTTGAAGCCGGAGGTGACCGTCATTGGCCCACATTGGCCACCTTCAAAAGAGTGTATAGAGAACTTACGCAGGGCCACGTTGCTAGTCTACACAGGGTTGGGCACGTCACCTGCATGTCTGCACAGTGCTGCTTTGGGAGCTACCTGGCCCGTGTCCCCTCCCTTGACATTTCTTTGTCTCGTCCATCGTCCCGAGGCACTGAATGGCGCAGAGCAGCTCTGCCTTTCACAGAAACTATTTATTCCCCCGTTGATGATTTCGCTTTACTTCCTTCTGCTGCGCGTGTTGTCAGAATGTCTAGAAAAATCTGACAGCTGGTATTCCATTTAGGGACAACATTTGGGGGATGTGTCTTGAAAGGGCTCACACACAGTCTTGCCGCACCTTCTACTCAACTTCCAAATATAATATGACTTCCCTGGCGATGAAATGAAAAATGGGTAGTGATGAAGTGTCATTCCATAAAGGAGCCTGAAACGCCGACGTCTGGCTGAAGAGACCCAGAGGAACAAATGAAGGGGCCGGAGCAGGGTCTTTGTCAGATAGCCCTGGGGTTCACACCCTCCCCCGGCGTTTGACAGTTGACAAGCGACACCACTCTGCTGAGCCTCAGTTTCCTCATCTGTACCGGAGGAGCCACAGAGCTTCTCTCCCAGGATGTGCTGACAGGTGAGTTGCTCATGTTAACAGTGACCAGCACCTGCACTGCATTCCAGGCAGTTCCCTCCGTCCCTTTCCTCCTGGACTGCATCAGTATAGATGAAGCAGTAAACACATGGCAGCAAATACTTAATATATGGTATAATTTGTTACGCGAACCCTTGGTAAGGATCTGGTCACAGGCAGATAGGTGATTCAACCACAAGACCACCCGATTCCACATATGTCAGCAACTGGAGCCAAATAATGAAACAAGACTTTGTCTCTCAGTGTCCCTGAGCTTCCATTCTCCAAAAGCAAAATGTCTGGTGATTATAAAGTAGTAACACGGAAGCACAAGACCTTAAAACTCTTATGTAGCATGGATCGTGGCTGGGCATTGCAGGTAGGCACAGAGTCTGGTATCTAACCCATTTTGGTGAATGCTGACCTATTTATTTTTCCACATTGTTAGAATACACCTATTGAAAACTGACAGCTCAGAACATTGAATGTAATTGATCTTAATGAGGGAATTCAAAAAGATCTGGGGCGTTGGAGGTACCTGAAAGGCATCCTTTGAGTGGAGTATTCTCTTTGGATTTGGGGCTGTATAGACTGCTGGCTGGTGAGCAGTGCGATTAAATGGCCTCAGGCCCAAAGCACCCAGCATGGTGGGTGGCGCATGGTCAGGTGCCTGACTCAATCCGGATAGTTTCTCATCCGGAAGCCAGGTGTGAATCAAGGAAAGGTCCACTTCAGAACCCTTGAATTAGATTCTTCTAGTCTCTTCCCCGCCTTAACAAGGGTTCCCGTAGATGACTTCTCTTGGTGCTCCAGGAAAATGGGTTCTACACGTGACATGAACCCCCAACTCAAGAGTTTTCTGAAGACAAGTCAAGAAAACTGTCCTTCTGGGTAGCTTGGAATCTCATCCTAGTACCACTTGTCCTTCCCCTGGGAGAAGGTGGAAAATTCCCTGTTTCCTTATGATCACAGAGCCCTATCTTCTGTATAGATAAGGCAGATTAGAATGTGGGAGGGGCTGTGTGTATGTGTGTGTGTGCGCGCGTGTATCTGTGGTTTGGGTTGGCCTAAAAACCAAACAAAGAACAAAACAAGCCAAACAAAACAGGAGAAAAAGAAAAACATAAACCTCTGCCACCAAAGGGGGCCACATCCCCCCTACACCCATTCATCTGGAAGGAATGACCGAGATTCCTGAATTGATGGACAGAACCGGAACACCTTTGTACACATCTCAGACCCAAGATTTGTGAAAGTAGAAAGTAAATCACTGGTGTACAATGATGCTAGGGAGGAAGAAGCCCTTCTGCTCAGCTCCGACAGGCTGCGTGTCACACAGCTTGTGCACATCAGCATTTCCAAACCTGTGCTATGCTCCAGAATCTCAGCCTAGCCCCCCACTTTGGTGGGCTCAGAGCTATTTGATGTGTACTGATTTAAATTCCCATTCCACCAGGGCGCCTGGGTGGCTCAGTCGGTTAAGCGCCCGACTTCGGCTCAGGTCAGGGTCTTGCAGTTCATGGGTTTCAGCCCCGCATCGGCCTCTGTGCTGACAGCTCAGAGCCCGGAGCCTGCTTCGGATTCTGTGTCTCCCTCCCTCTCTCTCTGCCCCTCCCCTGATTGTGCTCTCTCTCTTAAAAATAAACATTAAAAAAAATAAATTCCCATTCTACTGCACATCATCAGTTTCACTGACCAGCTCATCCTTCCTTGCTCAGAGACCGGTGCGCCTTTTCACCTTTTAAGGCAAAGATCTGCACTTTTAGGTGTTTTTTGTTTGTTTGTTTGTTTCTTCATTGATTCCTTCCTCTGACATAAAGTAGGGCAAGATTCCCAGTCCCCTTGGATCTCCCCGCTTTCCGGGTGAGCTGATCAGTGAGGGGATATGCCTGCTGCTGCAAAGTTGTTTTGTTTCGTTTGGTTTTTGCTGCAGCAAAGTTTTAACAAAAGCAGGAGGGAAGAGCTCCCTGGGAGGGAAGGGATGGGGTCAAGGTCGGCTACAAGGTCCTAGGGCACCAGGGGGGATCTCAGTGTCCATGTATCAACTCTTCCTAAACAACTCTGCCCAAAAAACACAGTCAGGGAGGCCGTTTCTTGAGCAAGGAGACGGCTGTGGGCATTAAATATATCTACCAGCGACTTCAGTTCTCTCTCTTAAACCTGAACACAAAGCAGTGAGCTTGCATTTCAGGCCAAACAGCACTGGCAAAGTATTAAAAACAGAAACAAAACAAAAAACTCTCTGATGTGAAAGCAAGCAAAATGGCTTATGTAATCCGGGTTGCAGAGGGCGTTCAAAAAAGCAATGTACTAATTGCAAAGCAATGCTTCCTGTATTAAAGAAGACGGCAAAGTTTAAAGCATTTAGTATAGCAACCGGAACTTATCAATTACCTCACAGTTGGTAGCTGTTGCCAATGTTGTATGTTCGAATCAACTGAAGCAGACTCAGTAAGACTTCTATTTGGAAACCCCTTTCTCCCTCAGTTTATTAATATGTGAGCTTTTGAATAATAAAAAGACATTGCCTAGGGTTCAGATTACTTCCCAGTGCAGTGTGACCTTTCCCAAATTACTAAGACTTGTGACATTTCTCTGAACAAAACACTGATCCACCAACAAAGGCTCTTGCGGAAAACAAGATGCCCAGAAATACTCTTCCCACCTGTCTCCAGAGCATTTGCTGTCAGTTGGGGGGCTGGAGCCCCAAATGTCTCCATTGTTTGAACACACAGCCTGTCATCAGGGCAGAAAGGGTTGGATTGCGATGGATCGAGGAGCCCATCGCTGCCTGCCTCACCCCTACTCACTCTCCCAATCCCCCTGCCTGTCCTGCTGCACATGGCTGTGGCCGTGACCATCCTCTTCTCCTGCGGTCTTGCGTGGCTCCAACTCCAAATATAGCCACTGATGCTCCAGGCCTCGTGTCACATGCAGGCTGACCAGGGAAGCTTCTGGACCACAACTGGGTTTTGTTTGCCATACACAGCATGTTTGAAGAATTTTGAATGCCTATAGAAGGGGGCATTGCTCTCTAACGTACCCCAATCCTTGCCTAGCACTCCCCATCTCCCTGGCTGGAATTAATTGCACTTATCACTTCGGAGTGTAAACATTTCCTCCTGTTTCCTCTTGTTATGGCCTTTAATCCTGCACACGGTGTGGCGATGTGGCCCGGACAGGACACCTGGGGGCTCGGGTCCAAATGAACCACACTAGCCCCCGGGACTAACTCCGTTCTGCGTAGACTCCCCACTTGGCAAGCTCTAACATGGCGGCTCCAGACCAGGCTGCCGAATGCCATCCTGGTGGCCACGTGACAGCTTACTGGTTGCGTGCCTGGATTTGTGTAAGGGTTCAGAAAAAAGAAGAGAAAAGAGTGGCTAGACCTCTTTAAGAAATCCCAGCCCTGAACACGTTAAAGATGGCTGGGCCTGATGTCCTGTTTTAATGTAATTAAAAAACTGTTTTCTTCTATTCATCAGGGTTGTGAAAGCAGTTTTGATTTTCAAAGTCGGAAAGAGGGATTAAATTATTTGGCGTCCCTGGAACTTTGTACTGTTTAGAGGATCAGGTAGGCTGTTTATCTTTTCCTACGTTTTCTTTCATGAGCCCAAAAAAACTGGCCTCTCATGGGTCTATATTTTGGCCCCAGGAAAAGCTGATTTCTTACCTGTTAAGTACATGGTTAAATTCATGAAAGTATTTTCATGAATGGGGCTCTTTGTGACCAGTGCCTCCAGGGAGCAGAGCACAGAGGTGATCGTTTCCTAGGAAGTAGGTATAATTACCCTGATGCTTATAGATCAGGGTACGCCCTCAGAGAAGGCACACCTGGTGGCCAAGGTCACGCAATTAGGCACTGGACTTGACCCAAGTTGGCCGTCAGCCTAAACAGGCTGTTTGTACCACTCCATGTGGCTCCCCACAAAGCTGCATGTCTAATCACAGACCCGAGAGAACCACTGGAGGAAAGACGGGGTCACTACAGGTCCTGCAAAAATGCAGGGTTTGGGGAAAGAATAGAAGAAAAAAAAAGAACCTATTGCATCTTGGCAGAAAGGGCCTTGTAACCTCAGTTCTGGATTCTTGGCTTTAGGACGGGACCCTCCGGCCCCGACTGTAAACGCGTTTTTCATAGCGAGGACGTGAGGGCGTTGACCGGCCCCAGACCAGGTAGGAAGCAGAATCGGGGGCACCTACCTCCTTCAAACTCTGTCTGGCAGTTCTCTGAGGTCTCCTGCAGGCTCTCCTCCTCGTTGATGATGATGTTCTCAATGTCCTTCATTGTCAAGTGGTCCCGGAAGGCGTGGTAGAGGATGTGCTTCAGCTCCTCCAGGGTTATCCTCTGCATGTCGAACTGTGGGGATAAAGACGGGTGAGCAGGTCTTGGGGACACGGGGCTGAGAACTCAGGCCGGGGCGTGCCTGGCAAGCCCCAGCAGCCCGAAGCTCCTGGATGGAAGCTTTGCTCCGCTTTCCAGAATATCAGATGAGCAATTTTTCCATCGTGTTCTGCTCCAAGCATACTCATGAACTTGCAGGGACTTAACTAGGAATACAGTGAGTGCATGTATCACCCTCAGTTGAGGCTCCTGGAGAATAAAAAAAAAAAGCCATCCACTAGCTTGGCTTCCTACTCACTCGGCCATCTGCCGTCACCTCCACACACCGTGCACACCTCATGTACTTGGGAGTGGTGTCACACCTCAGACAATGCACACATCTCTAAAGATATTCTGTATCTCCCAAGAAGCCAGCCCTTCCTGTCTTGCTTTAACTATGTTTCCTGGGCTAACAAGATAAAATGCAAGTTCAAAGCCATGTTTTTGAGGAAGAGAAGCTAAAAGGAGGTGTGGCACCCTTCCCGTGTGTTCTTCCTGTCGTAGTGAGAGGCTTATATCACTAGCAGGTACGGTCCTATTACTTTCTTGGCCAATGGCACATGAGCAGAAGTCACAAATGCCGCATCCAATTAAAAGCTCTAAGGGCCCAATCATGTGCTCTTTCCCCTCTGCCATGAGAATGGCATGCCCCATGTGGGGGCTGTTCCTTCTTTCTGGGCCCCAGAACAAGGATAAGGTGGAGGAGACCTGCAGATGCCCCATAAAGGAAAAATAACGTGTGTGCGAAATGCCGTTGGTGGTTGTCAGCCGTAGGGATTTCAGGCTAACTTGGTTTAAGTCAATAATACAAACATTATACAAGTAACAGAAAATATATTAAAAATAATACAAAAATTTATATTAGCAATTACAAAAAATACAGTACCACACAGAAGTGAGAGGCTACCATAACAAACATCCTAAAATATGATATTCCAGGGCCAGGTGGTGTGAAATGGGAAAAATGTGATTGGAGGCTGGAAAGATCAAGACCCATGAATATTATGCAGAAGCGTGACATTTGGTCGCGTCATTGTCTGCGACGACTTGAAGGAGAGAAAAATGTTGAATGAGTTTTTGGCTTTAGGTAGTCAGTCTGGGGAACAGCATGGTTGCAACTGGTGGTATCTGACAGGGCGAAACAGGAAAGAGATGGGCTCCTAAAGTTAGCAACTTAGGCAACAACAGATGTTGGCGAGGATGCAGAGAAAGAGGATCTCTTCCGCACTGCTGGTGGGAATGCAGACTGGTGCAGCCACTCTGGAAAACAGTAGGGAGGCTCCTCAGAATATTAAGAATAGAACTGCCCTACGACCCAGCAATTGCACTACTAGATATTTATTTATCCAGGGGATACGGGTGTGCTGTTTCAAAGGGGCACATGCACCCCCATGTTTATAGCAGAGCTATCGACAAGAGCCAAAGTATGGAAAGAGCCCAAATGTCCATCAACTGATGAATGGATAAAGAAGACGTGGTAGACAGACAATGGAGTCAAAAAGATCAGCAAGCAAAAAGAATGAAATCTTATCATTTGCAACCATGTGGATGGAAATAGAGTGTGTTATGTTAAGCAAAATAAGTCAGCATAGGGGAAGGGAAGGAAAAATAAGATAGAAACAGAGTGAGACAAACCGTAAGAGACTCTTAAATACAGAGAATAAACTGAGGGTTGCTGGTGGGGTGTTGGATTGGGGGGCATGGGCTAAATGGGTGATGGGCATCAAGGAGGGACGAGCACGGGTGTTACATGTAAGTGATGAATCACTAAATTCTATTCATGAAATCATTATTACACTATATATTAACTAACTTGAATTTAAATTAAAAAATCTTAAAAAAAGAAAGAGGTGAGCTCAGAGTGAAATAAGTCAGAAAGAAGACAAATGTAATTTCACTTATATATGGAATCTTAAAAAAACAACCAAACAAATGTAAAAACCCTGAACTCATAGATACAGAGAACACATTGCTGGTTGACAGATTGGGTAGGTGAATGGATGGAGGGGGTCAAAAGGTACACACATTCAGTTATAAACTAAATAAATTCTGTGGCTCTAACATACAGCATGGTAACTATAGTTAATAACACTTACTGCATATTTGAAACTAAGAGAGTAGATCTCAAAAGTTCTCATTACAATGGAAAGAGTGTGTAATTATGTGTGAGGAGGGATGTCACTTAAATTTATTGTGGGGAGGCCTGGGTGGCTCAGTCAGTTAAGTGTCTGGTTCTTGATTTTGGCTCTGGTCATGATGTCGTGGTTTGAGTTTGAACTAGGTATCAGGCTCTGTGCTGACAGTGTGGAGCCTGCCTGGGATTCTCTCTCTCTCTCTCTCTCTCTCTCTCTCTGTCTCTTTCTGTCCCTCCCCTGCTCATAATCGTTCTCTCTCTCTCCCTCTCTCTCTGCCCCTCCTCTGCTCATAATTGTTCTCTCTCAAAATAAATAAATAAACTTAAAAAAATTTATCGTGGTGATCATTTTGCAATATATACAAATATCCAATCATTGTCATATATATATGAAGCTAATGTAATGTTTTATGTTAATTATATTTTAATTTTTAATTAAAAATTTTTTAATGTTTTATTTATTTTTGAGAGAGAGAGAGAGAGAGAGACAGTGTGAGCAGGGGGAGGGTCAGAGAGAGAGAGGGAGATACAGAATCTGAAGACAGGCTCCAGGTTCTGAGCTAGCTGTCAGCACAGAGCCGGATGCGGGGCTTGAACCCATGAACCGTGAGATCATGAACTGAGGCTAAGTTGGATGCTTAACCGACTAAGCCACCCAGGGGCCCCTATCTTAATTTTTTTAAAAAGGAAAAAAAAAAAGAGAGAGAGAGAGCTGAGCTCAGGAAAGATTTGGTTGGTTTAGAAGCCAGGAATAGAGACCACTCAGAAATTCCGGATCTTGCAGAACGGAAAGAAGCGATTGTTTTCTGTCTTCAACCAGGAAGAGATAAAATTGAGAAACGTTATAAATGACAAAGCAAATCCAAGTGGTCCTTATTAAAACCTCTGAAAACGCTAAGTGACTCTCCAAGGAAAGTAGTTATTAAGTTTAGAGAGAGTTATGTCTCAAAATAATTGTGGATGTGGCTATTAGCAAAATACAATTGAAATCAAGTAGATGTTTTGTAAAAAGATTTTTTGAGACAGCTATATTGGGCAAGAGCCAACAGCATGGGATTAAGAGACTCTGTGACTATTCAAAACATAAAATGGCCTTTGGGCTCCCAACCTTTTATGGGCACAAGCCATTAGAAGAATAAGCGACACAGGCTGGAAGCAAGGTGTTTGCAATGCCCTCATCAGGAGGGAAGGAGACTAGTGGAAAGGGGCAGAAGGTCTCCGAGATTGTGAAGCTGGGAATCATTCTTGAAATCATTCAGTGAAATCAAGAGCAGGTTCCAGGAAGCAGAGGTAGGATCTAATCAAGGAATATTCCTCACCCCAAAGTCTGTTCAGCAAGATTTTAGATTTACTCTAAGCTTTTGAGTGTTATGTGTCTACCATTTTTTTTCTTTCTGGATGGGATTGTTCTGAGTGGTTAACCTGAGTCTGTTCCACCCTTCTGTGTTGAGTGTGTTGGGGGGTGGTGAAGGGGGATTTGTTTTTTTTCTTAACCCATATGTCTCCAGATCGGGAGGAGCCATACCCAGATTTAATGTATATTATGAAGGTCTAGATCTTGAGTCTTTTTGTTTGTTTATTTATTGAGAGAGAAAGAGAGATGGGCAGAGACAGAGGGAGAGAGAATCTCAAGCAGACTCTGCACTGTCAGCACAGAGATTGATGTGGGGCTCGATCCCACAAACTGTGAGATTGTGACTTGATCTGAAATCCAGAGTCAAACGCTTAACCAACTGAGCCACCCGGGGGGCCCCTAGATCTTGTAGTGTAATTAGATGGGATTTTTGAGTGTTTCTCTTGGGTAGGGACAAGTCTATTTTGTGGTGAAAGGGAGGTAAATGAATATGTGTGAGCAAGGGTGTAACAGGTTTTATCATTTCTAATGATTTCTTTTCCCTCCCTATGAGAGGATTGTATCTCCTCTCCCATTGGCCCATCAATGTCAGGTTTGGGCTACAAACGTGCCTGTGAAAGTCATATATGAAAGTGATGGATGTCCAAGGAGAAATCTCAAAGCCATCTTGTGTTCTGGAATTTCTTTATCCCTTCTGTTACAAAAACACTTTTACCAAATAGGGGCTGTTCCTGCACCCTGGCTCCTGGAATGAATACCACGTGGAGCTAACTCACAAAGAGCATGTGATTCAAGAGAAATAAACTCTTATGTTGGCCACTAAGACTTTGGGGTCCCTGCGTACATCTCAGCCAAGAATGAATACAGAAATGTTTTAAGTTAATCTGAATCAGAGTGAACGAAAGTTCTAGGCCTTTTTCTTTCCCAGCTTTCTTTGAAAAGCAATCCTTACCTTGCATTTCTTCTAACAAATGAAAGGAGGTTACTGAAATTTGCCAGAAATCTAAATGACTCAAGTTCAAAGCCATTCATGTAAGTAAGAACAATTGAAGTGGGTGTGTAGAGTGGATTTGTTTTATGCATTACTGTTTAGTGAGTCTGGAGTGAATTATGAGACACACCTAGGGTTGACTTGTGGTCTAAGTGTCCTTTGGATCTGATAGGGGAGCACGTAGTTGCTAGCCTGGGTGCCGCGGGAAGGCTGCTAAGATGCATGATGAGGATGATGGACATCACAGAGGAGAAAATTTGGATACGCCATCCACCGTGCCACGATCACAGACTAAGAGTGACAAAATCAAAGAGTAAGCATTTCCTGGAAGACCAGTGGAAGTGCTGGAGGACCCAGGGAAACCCCAACCAGCTGAGAATTTGCTGAAAATCAGAAATTAGGTGAGAAGAACCAGCCAGAGTCTGACAAAGTGAAGGCAAGTTCCAGAAATCTCTATTTTCCTTTTATTCAGCTCTCTGGGTCATCTTTTAATCATA